CCTGGGCGGTTCTAAAGTCCAGTTCAGGTTCCTCCTCGGACCTTCAGAGACAGCAATTTGTGGGCACAAAGACCAGCCCAAGGCTTCCAAGCCCAGCGTGAGTCCCCTCCCGGCCGCCCGCCCACACCGCCTCCCTTCACTCCGAGCTGCGTTTCTATGCTCCAGACCCGGGACCATTTTATCCCAAGACCACTCCTTTGTTAGATGCTTTGAAATGAAAACTCACACCCCAAATGCAATCACATCTACATTATTTCCCTTTAAAGAACCAGAAGCCCCCTCAATGCCTGGGGCACCTTTCAACCATTTCATGGAATGAGGGGACTGAGCCAGCATGAGGCCATTCACGCATATACGTGCAGGTGGACGCGGGAGGGCCAGGTGAAAGCAGCGCCACACAGGGGTCCTGGCAGATACTCATGCAGGAGGACGCTTGCATCGTCCTACAATAGACTGTGCTCGTGCGCTCTGTGTCGCTGTAAAGGACAGGCCTCTCCCTGGGCTGGTCTCTGAAGGTTTTTAATGACTGAGGCAGGGACAGAGAACTCCCTGCCCGTCCCTGCCTGGCTCCTGGGATGCAGGATGTGACAGGGGACAGGTGGAGGGAAGGAGCAACTGCACAGCCTGGAAGAAAAGGGGGTGAGGGTGGGCCATGGAGGGGCCCCCAAGTCTGTGATGTGAGGGCGTTAACACCGCTGGTCTGTGAGCCTTCGGGTCTGACCCTCACGGTCCCAGAAAGCACCCTGTGCCTGTCCGCAGAGTGTCCCGGGGGAGAAGCCCTTGTCCACAGGCCGGTGCTCATCTGAGGTACGAGGGGCACAGCCAGGGCAGAGCTGAGGAGCCGCACTCGCCATGCTCACAAAGGGCCAGCGAGGGGTGTGAGCTTCCCGAGATGCCAGGCTCCCAGGTTCCCCCTAACATCCTCTTCAGGGGGCGCCTCCACCCCACCTCCCTGCACACTCGCCCCACTTGCTTTTTATCAACACGATTTCCTCAGCTTTCTACCTGTCTGGAAAAGATTCTGTCATGTGCAGCACTGCCACTCTCGCATAAATATGGGGAACTGTCAAGAGTTTGATTATGTTGTAAAACCACAATGTGGGCTCGTGTCTGCTAAAGCCGGACCGTTGGCAAGGGCTGCAGGTGACACCTCGTGAGGACCAGAGCATCGGTGCTTCTCTGGAACTGCACTGCGGACGCGGAGTGAGACGTGATACCACATCACTGCAGGGGAGGTATCAGCTCTGAAAACCACGTACCCCGTAGTCTTCACTCCATAAATTCTTTCAAAGACACTTGCTCCCTGGCATTAGGATCTGTCCCACAAACCACTTGGTGCACTGTCTTGGGTCAAGGCTCAGACTAAAGGTAAATTCAAGATCTTAATGTGCCCTTCCAAGGAGAGGGCTCCGAAAAAAGAGAGGGGAAACGATACAATTCTGCAAGAGTGACATCTGGAAGGCGGACTCCGAAAATACAGCTGCACTGAGAAGATGCAAGGAGAAGCAAAGCGATCCTGTAAAAGGCTCACATTGATTTTAGGATGCATCTAGGTTTTAGGAATCGTAAGACATAGGGAAAATGCCCATCTTAGGAGGGAGGAAAGGAGACAGACTTTTACTAAACAAATGCCTTTCCATTCTGAATTCTGACCACTTCAGAGCAGAGGAGCTGATGTGGGACTTGGAAGACGGAGCCACCAAGGAATTGCTTTGTTTCAGCTGCACCCCCACCCTGAAGGCTTGCCAGGGGGTGCTGAACTGCCTGTCACCTGGGGGCTGTGGGTTTGTGTGAATGGACTTGTAGGAACTGAAACAGCCTCTGCGGAGTAAGGACCCACACATTTTATTACAGCCCCTGCTTGCCGAGCCCTGACAGGTACCCCACACCTCTTCCCTTTGGATTATGGAGAGAAATAAAAATAATTGTTTGATTTTCTGGGCCACAGAATATAAGACGGGGTTGCGATTGTCCAGGGAGCTTATACACTGAGGCAAGAAGGCGTGCAAACGGGAGCAGGAACTCGTCACCCTGTGGGTGAGCCAGAAGGACGACCCCCATTGCCCTCCTGGAGTCCACACGGGCTTACGTTTCTGTCTTTTATTAACATGTTCAACTCCAACTCCCACTCTCTCCTGGGGGGGAGAAGAGCAGCTGTGAATATCTATGGCATCCGTGATTTCCCCAAGCCATGATTTTTTTCCTATTAAGATTTCAACAGGCCCAGGAGCAGGCCCGGAGAAGGACCGACAGAGAGCACAGGTGTCTGAGAACGACATAATACTGACTTCTCTTTTTTGGTAACAGTCCACACAATGCACGGCCCTCTCTCCTGAGATGCGGCGAGGCTGGCGGGGAGCTGGCGGAGGAGCTGTGGGTGGGACACTGTACCGTGTGACATCACGATCATGCAGCTGGTGCCCGACGGGACAGACGTGAGGATGAGCACTCGGCTCTGGGCTGGCCCCGGGGGAGGCAGGCAGCTTCCAGGTAAGTTCCCCGCCTCCCAGGAACACTGTCTGTCCAGTTCCCTCAGAGCCGTCCGCTGGGGGCTCGCCACCTCGGCCACGGCCTTAGCCTTCGTCCTCCCTCAGCTCAGTGGGTAAGAATTTATACTGCTGTTGGCGGATCTGGGCCAGTTTTTTCCTTGCTTCTTCCAGTTCTCGCTCCTTCTTCAGCATTTCCTCCTGGGCAGCGATAATCTGGAAAGAGAGCAACAAGCTGGATGGATGTAAAACTTCCCGGGGGACTGCCCTGCCCTCCAGGGCCTGCCTCCTGAGCTCCCACAGCGCCTGCTGCACGGGACACAGCAGGGCACCGGGACTACGTGCTGGCTCTGGAGACCAGCCTCGGGGCCACGGTTTGGGTTCTGAGACCGATGAGCCAGTTGACCCAAGAAAATAAGCTGACTTCTGGCCACCAACTTAATAGCCAATGTCTGTGTCATCCCTACTAAGTGCCGGGTTCTGGTGTAAGTGTGCTAGGTGGAGTGTCCCGTCATCTTCTTGGGAGCACTGTGAAGTGTGCCCCATTGACCACCCCATTGTTCCAATGAGGAACCTGAAGCTGAGAGAGAGAGAGAGAGAGTCCACTTCCCACAGTCCCCAGCTAGGGGTGCAGGGCCTGGCCCAGGTATTCCCGAAGCTGGAGCAGTGGGCACTAGATGGCTCTCATACATTTATTTCATGCTTCTACGGTATGATCTGAGGAATATTCGTAAACAGGTATTTAGTGAAAAAGGTAAGTTTGTGTGCAAGAAAGCCAACTAGATTTCTTTCCTGTGGGCCTTTTCAGAGCCTTTACTAGGCCAACGATCGCTGTGATACTCTGAGGAGTGGGTAGAGAGTACAGCATTCCACACACTTATTGGATCAGAGACCCTTCTTCATAGAACTCCTCATGGAACTAGTGAGTCAGGAAACAGAGTCTGGTAAGGGTGAGTCCAGTGTGTTTCCAAATAGAGGGAGCGGTTCGGGAAGAGCTAAGGCCGGCACGGGAGTGAGTAACTTCAGTAACAGGGTCTCGGTGTCCCTGGTGCCGAGAAAACCAACCTCGGAGAGTAGATTTATGTCACACGCACTCTGAACTGCAAGCCTGATTTCCCGGTTTCCCCCTCCCTCCCAAGCCCGTGAACGCAACCTTGCCCAAGTCAGGCTACTCTCTGCTACCCCGTCTACTCTCATCAACATTCTGGGAAGGGGTCCATCCATTCTCTTTTGAGCCAAGTATCTTGAGTGGGTAGCAGCCCCAAATGCATCCATCATTTTACTTACAGGATAATATTGCTATCCTCCAATTCCTCTTCTCCTTTTTTATAACAAAATCCCTGACTTTTAGCTAGGCATGCGACACTAAGAAGACTGCATTTCCCAGCCTCCTTTACGGCGAGGTTGGCCAAGTAACAGTGCTGACCAATGACATGTGAGAGGAAGCCATGCAGGCAACTTCAGGGCCGTGCGGCCCCTCCTTTACCTCTTCTTGCTGGCTGGAAAGCCCAGGTCCAAGGCTGGAAAGCCTTGGACCAAGTGGCCAAGGACCACTTCTTAGGGAAGGTTCAGCAATAGGGAGATAAAGTCTGGGCTTATCAGTGGGTAAGAATGCAGACTGCTTACACCCAGACTGTCACACGGGAGAAATAAACCTCTATCTCGTTTAGGTCACTGTTATTTTGTGTCTCTGGTATAACACAGTGCCCATCGTGGGAGTAAACATTGTCTGGATTTAATCACAAACCTGAGCAATGCCCCCCACAAATTTTGTTTTCACTACAACATCGTCATCATCAGCTTTGCCAAATGCTGCCTTCTGGGCTGCACGGACAAGATTGTCTGAGGCTCTTTTCACAGCATTTCCTGCCGCCTGGAGAGGAAACAAAACACACATTGTATCATTAGGAACAGCCATTTGGATCAGGCAAGAACAGACATGAAGGTGCAGTTCATGAGACTATGAATCTATTTATCATCTAAACACAACACAGAGGTTCTCTCTAGTTAGGATCCATCTGTCAGTGTCTATTGGTCCATCCGTCCGTCCGTCCGTCCATCCATCCATCCATCCACTGATTCTACCAACATTGGCACCAACCTAATCTTAGCTCATTCACAGAAGAATGAGATCCAGTTCCTGGCCTCCAAGGAACACACAATTTGGAAGGGAAGTACAATTATGTAAATAAATGACATAGCATTGTGATGTGTGTGTTAACAGAAGCCCTCAGGGCTGCCTCCTTGGTTTAGAAACACTGCCCTGTTCCATTTAGACATACTTGAGGCCTTGGCTCGGACATTGCTTTCTCGGTCCACCTGGGTCTTGCCCACCCCAGTGCTCCTGGAGTGCCCTGTGCTGCCTTCTCTGTAGCCCTTACCACCTTGTGATTGCCTTTCTCCCTCATGGACAGGGAGTAACTGAGGGCAGGGGCTGTGACTTGAATCTTTGCATCCCCAGCACCTGGCACAGTGGCTGCCCAGGGTTGGTGTTCACTGAATGTTTTTTTTTTTTGGTCAAATGAAGGGCTATGAGTTCACACTCTACCCCTGCATGAAAGGGCTGGGAGCACCACAGTGATAAGGCCTTTATGATGTACTTTCAGAGGCAGAGCTGGGCTTTACGTCACCTGCTCAAGGATGAGCAACTGCTAGAGACAGACGAAGGGGAGCTCTTCAGTGAGAGTCCAGACCTTCAGTGAGGGCTCCGGCCCACACTGGCCTCACCTCATGCTCAGGGTGGCTTACTCTTAATGCTGGGGGCTCGTCTTCTGCCACCAGAGGTTTGGGATGATCTTCTAATGGTGGTCAAGGCTTTTTTAAAGCTTCTGAAGTCCTGGCCCAGATCCCCTCAGAGTCAAAGATTTGTGTTTGGAGGTTAAACCTCAGAAACTCAAAAATCAGTTCTCATTCAAAATCAATGGGCCCATCTGGTTGGTGAGCTAATGTGACAAATAGGGACTATGAGAGCTTGCATGAGAAGGGAGTGCTTCAATTCATCTCTGACAAGCAGTCATCCTGTGCTTATTTTCAAAATAGCTTTATGAGGTCAGAACTCATTAGTCTGCTTTTCTGATGTTGAAACTGAAGTAACTTGTCTAAGACCCTGTAGCTAGTAAGCTATAGAGCTGGGATTTGAATAGGTCTGTCTATTCAGAAAACCTCTGGGTCATTGTGAGGAACCCACCCATGACATTGCAGCATCCGGTTAAATCAGCAACAGTGATGCTGTGCTAGATCTGTGTAAAGCCCGAGGCCTCACAAAAGCATGTTCACAGGCCAATGCAGGTATCTCCATTCCCATTTTACAGAAGAGACAAACTAAGGCCTGAAAAGTTTTGAGTGATTTGTGTAAGATCATACCCTTAATGCATGGCAGAGGCAGCACTTGAACCCTGGTTTCTCTTAACTCAGAATGTTGTCCTCAAAAGCGTTTCCCAAACCCACAAATCACAATTCACAAACGTGCAGCTCCCCACTCCCCCGCTGGGTTTATCCCAGGAGTCAGATGAAGGTGAGGGAGGAGGGTCAGAGAGACACTCGGGAGGACCAAACAACAGAAATGCGCGTCAGGACTTCCAAAATAAAACGAGAGTTCTGAGCTTTGGTAGAACTGTTCAACTATTTCTGCCATTTATGAAATTGCTTATGACTCATGTAAACATATTTTTAGAACATAAACAATCTGTATCATAACACATAATAAAAATCTAGAAAATTGGAAACAAAATGTCAAAAGTGTAGGGAAATTCTGGCATGACTGGCTGATGCAATATCATGCAATCATTAAAAATGAGGCTCATGAAGAATGGACCAGTTAGCTTTGCACAGAGAAATTATGAAGCCTTTCCTTCAAGGAAAAAGATATGTATGATAAAATGTTCAGTGAAAAAAAGCAGAATGCCTCTTGCCGTGATTACAACTAGACAAAACTATTTGGTATACAGATAAACACAGGAAGAGAAAAATGATAATCTCTGACAATGTTGAGGCTATGTGACTTTTTCACTCAAACATTTCTTTCACTGCGTTTCCAAATACTCGGTAATGAAAACGATCAGGAAAACCTATGCCTTGGGAAGGACTTGGTTGTCACCTTCACAAGCACGTTCTCTGGGCTCTGGGAAACCTTACAACAGCCTTGGACAAACTCCTCCGTCCTCTCACTCCCCGCTTAGCAAACAGAGGAGGAGGACTCCCACTGAAACAGGCACCATCTTAGTGGGAGAGATGCTAAGATACAGATCTGGTGCCCGCACCTAAGAAGCTGCCCGCCTTGTCAAAGACAGATGTAAAGATAAACGTGGTGGGCCAGGAACCATGAGTGGTCTGGCTGGGGCTCTGGCAGGACAGAGGCGGGGCTGGCTGCCTGAGGCAAGGTGGGAGGAGGGGCTTCCCAGGAGAGGTGACCCTGGAGCAGAGTCATGAAGGACAAGTAGGCGTGCCCCAGGCTGGGTGGGTGGGGAGGAGGGTCCCAAGGCGTGAGACCAGAAGGCCCCCGTGGAGAATGTCAGTTTGGTGGGGCAGCAGGTGTAGGATGCATGGTTGCACGTGGCAGAAAATGAGAAGAGTGGCACAGAGTTGGCTGATGGAAGGCCTGGTGGGTCATGCCAAGGAAGTGAGACTGTCCCCTTTGGCGACACTTACCCGCTCCAACAGGAGTATTTTCCCACCAGCATCAGTGACCATTACCTGTAGCCGCCTCATGGCCTCTGAGTCCTGATCGGCCTTCACCTTGCAGGCCACAAGCAGCTGAGCCGTGGAAGCGGCGACCTGCTTGGCGGACGAGATGAGCTTTTCCTCACTGGCGTGTCCCTGAACAGAGGCGTTGGCCGCCTCGCAGAGGCTGCTGGTCGCAGCTGCCACCATGCGGGCCTGGGGACAGTCAACAGAGAAGTGAGCCAAGGCCCAAACCTCCCGCAGGGGCTCCAAAACCCAAGTGGGGAGGAAGGAGAAGGCGACTCACAGCAGAAATCAGCCCCTGCGACCACTGTCCGTCATCCGCGGCATTGGCGGGGATGGAGCCCACCTAGAGAGTGGAGGTGAGAAGTCTGCAATGAGAGCTGGAAGGCGCAGGGTGACCCGAAGCCCCTCAGACCCCACACTGCCCGAAACCAGAGAGAAAAACACCCCAGACACGCAGTACCCCCAGGGACTCCCCCATCAGCACCAGCATGAGAATGGAGCACCCGTTCCCATGTGGACCACTGGCCACTGGGAGACTGCACCAGCACGGCCGGCGGGATTTCCTCTGGGCCACAGGGAGCCACTCTGAAATGCTCCGAATGGCCTCTGTTTGGTTGCCAGGTATTGAGTTTCTGGGAAAATGGCTCAGGAATGATAGATTGGGGCTGTCTTCACAGGCTCTTCTCTGCCGACCTTTCTCCATTTCAAGCATGAGAGCCCCTGAGGCCTCTTCTTTCAAGAGCCAAGGGAAACTTCAACCGCTCCTGATCACAGAACCCGAAGCCGTGCTGTGATTTTTCTGGCAGATGGTGCAAAAATGGGTGGTACATTTTCTTTAGTACAATTAAGCGCAGACCCTTAAGGAAATACAGACCGCTTTGTGGGGGTGGGGGGTGGGGAGAGCATTAAGAGGCTGGAAGTAAGATGATCTCTGTTTCTATTTAGAAATTATGGCAACAAGTGAAATATTTTCTACTCAGAGGGAGTATCTATGGGAGGAAATACCTTTACACTTGTGGGAGGTGAGTGGAGAGGTAACAGATGATTATATTTGAATATAAAATTGAGGATCTGTCAGCAATTACAGGAATCACATCATGGCTTGGTGAATGTCAGGGGAACCCCAAAGTCCTGCATATAAGTTCACCCAAGTCCAGCTGAACCTCCTTTTCCAACTTGTTAAACACTTGGCCATCTAAGTCCCGCGGGGGACAGGGGCTCTGCCCCACTTGAGTTCGATTCTCTCCAGTGGTTGGCAAACTCATTAGTCAACAGAGCCAAATATCAACAGTACAACGATTGAAATTTCTTTTGAGAGCCAAATTTTTTAAACTCAAACTATATAGGTAGGTACATTGTTATTAACTTAATTAGGGTACTCCTAAGGCTTAGGAAGAGCCACAATCAAGGGGCCAAAGAGCCGCGTGTGGCTCGCGAGCCGCAGTTTGCCGACCACGGCTCTAGACTCTAGCAATGTGCCTGGCACACAGTTGGCCCTTTACCAATAAAATGAAATTTTTAGGTAGGATTTTCTCCTCAGTGACCCATTTTTGGTCTTTAATATTGATTAGTCAACAAGTACTTGGTAAGTAAGGTTAGCATTGTGCTACATCCATAGGGGATAAGTGAGAACCATAACCATAAAGGAACAGACTGCATGCCACTTAGGGAGACGTTAAAACTGAATAAAATACCACACAATGGTTTAGAAAGAAAAGTATGTAGTTTGAGACTAAGATATGTCTACGTTCACAAGAAACTTCCTGGAGGAAGATGGACAGCCCCTGGTTGGCGTAACTTCCTGTCTGTTCTACACGCTCTGGGGTCAGGACACAGCCATAGCCATTTCTCTGTACACTGACAGCAAAGGCCTTTTAATATCGAACAGAGTGGCTGACAGTTACGACGACCCAATTTCCTAACCCTCACCCTGACAGGATTTCTGTGCTGCCTTTATATTTGAGAGGCTCTCTGCGGACACAGTTTGGAGGGGTGCTTTCATGTTGTATGGGAGAAACAGGACACAGGGAGTATTTGAAATCGGAAGACCTTCCTATAGCCAGGATTAGTCTAGTGTACTACTAATTCTTTGGATTATTGGGAAAAAACACACAATGCTTTCCTGCTAATGCAGATGGAATGGGTGATGGAGATGAAGCAGATTGAAGACATCTCAGATTGGAAATGAGCCCGGCCTTCTGGCCAATGGGCTCAGGAAAACGCTAACTGCAGGGTTGGACAGCATTCAGCTACACAGTGCTCAGAAATGAATGGGGCCATTGGAGTTGTAAGATGGTATTATAAAGCCCTGACTGTGGTGCTTATAGAGCCGCCACCAGGAAAATATGACAGCTTACACCTTTAAACAGCCTCATGTACGGAGGGAATATACATGTCTTGTTCAGGCCCTGATCGCTGTCCAGGGTGGGATGCTTTCCTTAACCAGAAGCAGATGAGGGCCCAGGAGTCTGTTGATCAGGTATAAGCAGAGTTTGCAGTCAGTTGGGGCAGGCTGGTCATTCAGTGAGGGAAGGCACAGCCCAGGTTTCCTTGGTCAGGCCCGAAGCGTTCACCTCCTTCCCTCATAGGCCCTCACTATGTGAACGCCCTACCAGTCGGCCAGCAGGGTTCACCCACCTTTCCTTGGGCCACCAGCTCCCTCTGGGCTGCCGAGGCAGACTTGACCAGGGCACTTGTGGCAGCAGCAATGGATTTAGCAGCTTCCAAGATCTGTTCTTCAAAATCCAGGGTCTCATCCGCTTGCTATAACCAAAAGAAAACAGCATCACAGGCCATTCATATCCACAGAGGGCGCTTTCTGCCAAGCACTTACTGCTGGGTCACCTGGTGCTCCGACCGCCTATTGCTTTTAGTTAACAAACCACACCCAGGGTAGGAGGGCCTGAGCTGGGCAGCTGCCCCTCCATCTACGGCCTCCCCGGGCCCCTCTCTAACAGGTGAGCACTGTCAGCACTGACGTTCTGCACAAATGTTAGATCAGAACATTCTAAGGCTGACAATTTTTCCAGGCCAGACTCTCTAGAGACATAAATTCACTGTGAATAAAAATATCTCAAATGGTTCTATCGGCATCAATAACCAAAATCAAAATAATCAATAATCAAAATCCAAAGAGTGGGTGGTGGCACATTCTCCCAGGGCTTAAGGTTCAAAAAATGGGTTGAAAAAAAAAGAAAGAAAGAAAGAAAGAAAGAAAGAAAGAAAGAAAGAAAGAAAGAAAGAAAGAAAGAAAGGAAGGAAGGAAGGAAGGAAGAAAGAAAGCTATCCGTCATGAAACACTTGATCTTTCTGGGGTAAAAACAAAAGCAAACCCGCATTTGAATTTTTGTGGCTGAGCCCCAGGAGAGTTACATACCAACCAAAGATCACCCCGTGATGGCAAAGAAGCCCATCAGGTGGAGCTGTTCCGTGACCCGGCACCGGAGGCCCGGCTGCACCTGGGAGGAATACTGGCCACCACTGGGTAGGGCCATTAGGACTCTGCTGTAAATTTGCCACCACCATGCCCTGTGCGGCCAAAACCACCTGGGAAGTTGAAGTCAAGCTTCCGGGAAGTGGGGCAAATGTGAAGACCGGGGTCCTAGGCTTGGTGGGATGGAGCACCACCATTTGGAACAGTCAGACTAGCTGATGTTCAAGGTCAACCTCCAGCACTAATATTCTGCCAATATGGTGAAGTTTCCCCTTAGGCCCCAGAATGTTAAAGACGTGGCTGATCCCTGTTAGGTATTAAGAGATGATGGTCAGGTGTAGCAATCCTTTCCTGTGCATGTGTGTGGTAAAATACACGTGCCACAACATCTACCCTTTGGACCAATGTTACGTGTATGAGCCAGTGGCATTTAGTACATTTGCAATGTGTATAATCGCAATATGGTTTTAAAAGTACCTACTAAGTGCCAAGGATTTTGTTAGGCACTCTCATATACATTAACTTGTTTTTCACCATAGAACAGAGTTATCTATACCAGTGGTCACCCACCGGTGGTCTACGGACCACTGGTGATCCGTGAGGTCCAAAAGGTTGGCGACCGCTGATCTATACCATAGTTATCTGCATCCTTATATTTACGGTGGGAAAACTGAGGCTTGGGGAGGTAGAGAATTGGGCCCAAGGTCATGTGGCAGCTTGAAAAATCTAAACCAGACCTAAACCAAATCTCTCCACCTCCATAATGATACATCTTACTCGTCAAAGGCCACCCCAGGGCATTAGTGAGGAATAATTTCAGGTCAGAGGCTCGAAGTCGGCTGAGCTAATGGTCCCATATGCGACATCAGACAGGGTGGGCACGTGGATACAATTCTTTTTGGGTTCCCCATTCTTAATGGTCACTCCTTCAATCTCATTTTTATTTTTACAAAATAACATTTCAGTACAAAGGGCGTGAATCTGAAGGACGGCAGCAGCAGGCGACAAGTTCTGAGATAGAAGCTGCACAGTCTTTCTTTTTTCTGACAGTCTTGCCCTAGGAGCATTCAGCACAGAAATGGGTTCAGTTCCAGGGGAACCATTTTGGATTTCTCATTATGGGGTGGGGGCGGGGAGCAGTAGTGGTAGAATATAACATTTGTTTACTGAAATACACAAATGACTCATTATAAGATACTCTGGCCCTGGCCAGTGTTGCTCAGCGGTTAGGGCGTCAGCCCATGCACTAAAGGGTCTTGGGTTCAATTCTCTTGGTCAAGGGCACGTACCTGGGTTGTAGGTTTGATCCCAGGCCCTGGTCAGGACATGTGCAGGAGGCAACCATTCGATGTTTCTCTCTCTCTCTCAATCTCTCTCTCTCTCTCTCTCTCTCTCTCTCTCTCTCTCTCTCTCTCTCTCTCTCTCCTCTGTCTCTCTCCCTCTCCCTCCCTCCTTTCTACTCTCTCTGAAAAGCAATGGAAAAAATATTCTTGGGTGAGGATTAACAACAACAACAAAACAAAAAAAGAGACACTACATGAAAGGTATTGCTATCCACAGGTCTCAGAGAGAGGACACTAGGCTCTGATACATGTACTCAATGACCTTGAAATAAGAGCTTTTTTGAAAATTCATTCTGCAAAAGAAAGTCATGCATATAACAGATTAAGGCACTGAGGAAATCACAGAATTTCTGAGCCTAAATTTTACAGATCAGAAAATAGAGGCCCATAGTAGGTCCCCAAAATTTCCTAGACTCCTGTCTCAGGCAGCCTCGGCTACATCATACATTGCAAAATTTAGTCCACTTTACAGGGTGGAGTGCCCATCAGCAGATTTCTGATTTTTCAAATTTTAGGATTCACAAATACGGAATTTCCTTAAAATGAAGTGCTAATTCTAAGCATGGATAGACCTGATAGAATCACCTCATTACAACTGGTTGGAAAGGCCTCCCCCACATCTTCTGCTGCCCTGCAGGCCTTTTTTTTTTTTTCCACACATGCTTGAAACAGACATTCAACTTTGAAATATTTTTGACACCCGCTGATTTTTCTTAGAATGGCAACTGCTGTAATGGCCTTTGATGGATTTTTCTTTTTCTTTCTATAACACCTCTACGCTTTCAAATGGACACAGCAGAAAGCCTCATTTCTACGTGACATTTGCTCTGATTACCCCTTTGGCAGTTGAATGACCTTTTCACAGGGGTCCCCTAAGACCATCCTGCATATCAGATATTTACATTACGATTCATAACAGTAGCAACATTACAGTTATGAAGTAGCAACGAAAATAATTTTATGGTTGGGTCACAACATGAGGAACTGTATTTAAAGGGCCAGAAAGTTGAGAACCACTGGATTAGAATGAACTAGAGAGTTTCCCAAGAAAGGCTTCGTAAAGCTGACTGGGATGGCAACGGGGATGGAGGGCGAACATTTAGCTGCTGCCATGTGGGCGGAGTCCCATGATGAGACTGCCGCCTGCCTGCTGGACCCACGCCTTTCTGCAGGCCAGGTTTATCGTGAACACGAACCCCCACCCCGCCTTCCCTGCAGCAAACAGACATCAACTCCTGCCGCTTCCTCAGACCACCCAACCTCCAGCCTCAGAGAGCCGGGCTCTTCCCGCACCCCAGCCAGCGCTCCCCTCAGCCTCAGCTCCCACCAGCACAGAGGGGGGAACCTGGGAGAGGGGCGGTGAGGGTGGCCCGAGAAGAGAGAAGGACACACATTGCTCACCACACTGCAAAAAAGGAGAGAAATGGAAGTGGCTTGGTCTTCAAAGGACTTTCCTAAATAAAAGGATCACAATTAAAGCGCAGGATTTGTTAACAGAACTGGGGGGTTGGGGAGAATAAGAACGGCAAGGAGGAGCTGCCGTAAGGGGACCTAAGGGAAGAATCTGGAGACTGGGAGGGCGGGTTCCTCTCACTGAGCCTCATCCTCTTCTACTCACCAGAGAGCTCAGCTGGTTGGTCTCTTAAGATCCTCTTTAGCAAGAGATATTTCATTGATCTGACCAATGCTTCCCAAATCTGTCCCTCCGTTTACAAGACTGAGTGAAATCTTCACCCCTGAGTCCTTCCTCCCAACAACTGGAGCCAGTAAGATCGTTAAAATCATCTGAAGATGATAACTAATCCTATACATGCAGTTATTCCTATTTCTTTAAAGCATCAAGCGAAGACAATGAGTTAAAGAAACGTTTTCATTAATGGGCTAAGTGGACAGCTCTTGCAGAATCACCGGAGGACCTGGTTAAAGAGGCAGACTGTGTTTCAGTAGGTCAGGGTGGGCCCTGGAACCTGCGTGTCTAATGGAGGTGTCTGGGCAATGCTGTGGGAAATGCTGGCCTGGGTTAAGGAAAAATAGAGACCAGTTAACTGAATCCTACCAGCCTGTGATCCCCTCCAGGGCATGGGCTGTGTTTTATTCAACTTATGTATCCCGAGCACAAAGTGAGACAGAGAGACCTGTGTGATAAATAAACTCTTGGTGAATGAATGTATTCATTCAAAACGAGTCTCCTGAGTTCTAGAGTCCAGCCAGAGGACAGTTTACATGATTGGAGAAGGAGAATGGACCGAGTGAGCATTCACATCAGTAACTGTCCGCTCCTGATTCCTGGGGGATGAAGGCACACCCTGTTTAAGGCTGTGGGGTGTTAACTGGACGCTTTGCTGCATCCTTCACCTACCTTTCATAGTTGGGGACACGCAGTCATGCATATGCAGTGGAAACACAGTGGCACTTTCCACATTTTACTAAGAGGCTCTCTTCATAAAACAGTGCTGGGCAAAATAACACCTGCAAACTAAGACTCTATTCTGCTTAAGGCAGGTGTTAGCTGCAGCCTGAGTACTGAATCTATTCTCTCATCCTTTGTACCATGTTCTTTCCCCTGCTCCCCTCCACTCGAAAAGGTATTGGCCAGGTCACCACAAGCTTTTTTTTAAAAATCTTTATTATTAAAAGTGTTAAATATGTCCTCTTTTCCCTCCCATTGACTCCTTCTACCCCCTCTACCCCCACCCCAGGCCTTCACCACCCTATTGTCTGTGTCCGTGGGTTATGTATATATATATGCATACAAGGTCTTTGGTTGATCTCCTTCCCCCCACCCCATTCCCTCTGAGATTCGAGAATCTGATCTTAACAACTGTCTTTCTAAACTGTCTAGCAGGCTAGCCAAGGATGGCTTCTCCTCACCTTGGTGTTTTGGAAGCTTCGAGAATGGTTTGAGCAGCCTTTTGCTGACATTTTTTCCTGTTTGGTGATCTCATGCAGAGCTCCCCCTTTAAAAAGTTAGAGGCCTGGTAGGTAAG